TATCCCGTCGCGACGGATTTTTATGTGAAATCACGTTTTTTTTTGCAGAAGTTATGAGCGGTATTGTATAAGAGTTGCTCAGTCATAGAATGGGTAGACTTTTAAAGGAACCCTGTCTCAATTGTGTAAACACATCTGCATATTTTGATTCTGAAATTTTACACATAGGAAGAATAGCAGACTCATGATAATGGAGAAAGTTGTTATTAGTATTATACATAGCCATTAGCATAAGCTTTTTAGGGTCTATGTCCACAAGAGGTGATGTGATGAGTATTCTGCAGCGATTAAGGAATGTTATTGAGACTAATGTTGGAATCATGTTCTACGAGAAGCTTTGTGAAATGGAAATTGTCGCATTTCAGACAAAGTACGGAAAGGATTTTAAAGGCTATAAGGTAGGATACCATTTCTTCTTGAAAAATTCAAAAATCCAAGCAAAAAATTGGGCATTCACGCTGTCCGAATTTCCTCCAACCATTTCGGACTGCCTGCAAAAAAATAAATATGCCTTGAGGCCCTTTTAAGGTCATAGAAATAGTTAACATTTCTGTGGTACTTCACCATTGTTGTTAGGCTACGGCTGTTTAGCATGTTAGCAAAATCTTCTTATTTCAAAAACAATTTTATTAAGCTGTATGAGTTCATAATTATGAGTCAAATCAAGGAAATCAAAACTATTTCCTAAACTTTTGAAAAAAGATCTCGAATTAGGACCTTCTGGACCAAGTTTCGTACCTCTTCACCAATTCAAATCCTTATCTTGATTATCCGCATCCGAACATTCATAAAGTAGTTGACATTGGAGGGATCGCTGTGACGTTGGATGCTGCGAAGAACAAGCTTCCTCAGGTGCAATTATTTTTACCCATTTCAACATCCCAAATACCTGCAATTTTAGCACCTAGATGAAATCCTAAACATTCGGCAGCTAAATGTAATAGTTTCATTTGGATCAGTTGTAAAATCCTGTTATATGCCCGAAGATTACAAGTAAGTAATTGCCTTGAATCATCTAAATTGAAAATCCAAAGTATTCCTTTACTTCAAAAAATTCAGGCAGTCGCTGCTAAAAGTGTTTGAATCAATGCCAAATACTACCTTCATCTGGAAATACGAGCTGAAGGAGCAACAGTTTACGACAAACCTTCCCAATGTGTATTTGTTCGACT